AAAAGTCTGCTGTAAGCGGAATGGATATGCAAGGTGAGCATGGTAGCATGGCAGCATGGCATGGAAGACGATGGGGCCTGTCCTTGGCCCGGGACCGAAATGAAGGAATCGGTGATGAAAGGGTCTGGTTGGGTGTTAGTCCCCAGCACTTGGGCCTCAGCCCTATGACTTATGCAGCCACGAGTAAGCCGGCTAAGTTGCATGGGTCCTGGGCGCACTAATGCACGTTTTCCTGCGAGTTTCGTACTTGAATAGCCTATTGACGATCTGCCTTGCCCTACCTGATGTTGCGCTGTCTCCCGCCCCAGTGGTGCCCCAGAGCTAGATGGCCTATGCCGCTTGCAGAATCTTGCCTGCGTGCCCTACTCGCTGGCTCCATGTGTGTCTGTGTCGATGGACAACAAAGTGCTGATATAAGCGGATATCAAGAAACAAGCTGTACGCCTCCAAGGCGTTGGTACACGGGGCCCTCCTCTATCTCCAAGATCGGCAAGCTCTCCTCGAGCGTCACTCACAAGGACATTTGTAAGCATCAACGGGAATAAGCTCTGTTACAACTTCGTTCCCATGACGAGGCTGAGATCCTAATAGGCCGCCATGAAACGGGGTAAATTTGATTCGACCATCACGAAAAGCTTGTTGAGAGAAAGTTGCCATTCTCCTGAAAAGAGTAGGCGTTCCGAAAGTTGGCAATCGCTTGACTAGCTACAAAATCGTGTATCACACGATTGACCTTCCGATGTCTGGTATTTTCGACCTCTATTTTACCTAGCATAGGTGCTATTCTCGGGGCCGTCTTCTAGAACCACGTTGCATTCAGCTCCAGTGACCATGATCCGTTCTCGGTTGGCCAAGTGCACTGTAATGCCGGTGCCTATTGTGCCTCTTAGAATAGTGCACCAGATGGCAATTACGGACCTTTGCCTGTGAGAGTGTGTCATCACGGCGCCTAGCCTGGCCAGGTAAAGGCTCTTTTTGGAGTAATAGTAGCGAATTATACGCACTTTGCGTCTGTGTGGCCGTGAAAGAAGACACCGATGTTTGACGATTTGGGGCAAACGCCATCACGAAAGGGGCGGTGGGACCGTGTAGCAATTGGTAGCGCGTCCAGGCGCAGCAATTGGGTCCAGAGTACCCCGGCTTCAGTGAGTTTGACGTGGGGCCAATGCTGCAAGTTTCGTTTACGCAGAAGAAAAAGCTTGGCACTGCAACAATCTCCGGACACTTCCTGGGCGGAAGTCGGTTTTGTGTTCGGGTATGCCGTTGCTAGGAAGCCGGGCACAGTATCTGGAACGGAGCGGAAGGCGATGTCGCCTACGATAGGCCTGGTTATGGCATCATAATATGGATGAGGTTGCCCACGGTCTGTGTTGCTTACCACAGCAAATGCGGAGTCAGCAGATAAATGGCAGCGTTTTGCGAGGTTCGGTAAAGCTTCGCTCTGCCGCTGCCATTGGCCGTATTAGGTCCCGCGCAGCTCTTTCAGCTGGAAAGCTTGGCCATGCCTCCTGTAGCTCCTGATAATGTGCGTGTGCCTCGATCCTATGTTGAATGAGGGGCCTGCGTGGGGATGAACTGCGCCAAGCTCAACAGCGTGGCAGAGGGCTGAATCTGACAGCTTCCCCTTAGGATCGATGGCCAGGGTTGCAACACCGAGGCTCGTGCAGAAGGACGGCGGAGAAAGATGTGCAAAGGGACTGTTTTCGGCAGAATTGCGCGAATGTACGGCGGAAAACCAGGGCGCATTTGCGGACAGCCGCGCAATAAGTTAACTTCGAGTCCATACACCTCGCCCTCATGCTAATGCTCAGCCAAGTGCGATTCGATCATTTTCAGCAACATTATTCCTTGTCAGGCCTTGCACCGTCGTTGATGTTTGTAACAGCAAGTCAGGCTCACCAGAGTTTCGTAGAGCACGACAAATTGGTGTGGAGATTGCCAAATCATACAGCTTGTTGGGCATATACGGAATCCTGGGAAGGAGAGTTGCGCCTCACTTCTTCAGATCAGATGCTAAATTGTGCAGGAGCAGTCGAATTAGAATTCTCCGTTTGGAACAACTACCTTACGTACATGAAACAGCTGAGTAAAATATAACAACCTGGAAGGAGCGCTTTAAAGCTCGGGCAGCTTCCGTTTGAAGATATTGCATTACGGTAGTGTTAGTTACACTTTCCAGGCGGAAGGTCATTCATTCATTACAAAGTGTTTACACATACAGTACATATCTTCTTGGAGTCGCATGAAATATGCACCAGCGTATCAGAACAGCCGCAATCGTATAATAACATGGAATTTGGGTTAAACGCGGGCAATGGGCTGTCATGATCCCACATGCATCCAGATCATCTTCACGAGTTCTTTGTGGGATTACCTAAGGTAAGTCAGATCACATTCCAGGCGTAAGGTAAGGTTCCACGGCTAGTCCAATTTAGCCCAGCAAGCCCAGCCCAGAATACCGACCACTACCGATCTGGGTACGTACCTCTACTGCTGAGCCCACTGACTCGGCAAGCATAGCTCACGTACCTCGGCTCTTGCTCCTCACCACATTGCTGCCAAGACGAAGCTCATGAAAGACTCGACATCAAACTCTGGCGATCTGACCATTCCTCGCCCATGAACCGCATGCCACCACTCGACCCTTTCCCTACGTCTCACGCACCCGAATTCCCACCAATGCTGCCCAGATGAGCGCTCCAAATTTTGTGCAAGCGCAGCAGCGCCTGGCCGAGCGTCGAGCAGCTCGAGAGGCCGAAGCCCAGGCGCGCCTCGCCGCACAGCAATCAGTTTCACAACTGCGCGCGCGCATCGCGTCCCATCCGTCGCCGCTGCTTCGACGGTTAGGACTTTCTGCGCTCTCCACTTGGGACAGCATCTCCGGTCCTGAGGGCACGCGGCCCGCGTTTCGTGTCGGACAAGTTGATGCCGAGTTGCTCGACGAGGAGCTGGTCGACCTCCTACGCGGACAAGTTGGCGACGGACTCAAGTATCTGGGCGGCCACGGCAGCAACTTGAAGGATGAGTGGTCACCGGAAATTCTGCTGGTGCTGAGGGGCATATTGTTCAAACTCAGTATCTGGGACCATGACGCCACTTACGGCGCTGCCCTCCAGAACTTGAAGTACACCGATGCGAGACATGACGGGCCCGTTCTGGTCGCTCCATCCAGGTGGCAGAAATCACTCTACGGGCTGATTACAGTGGGAGGGAAATATGCCTGGACGAAGTGGGAAAATTGGTTATTAGACCAAGATAACGGGTATGACCAGCCCAGTATGCGCATTCAGAGGCTGTCGCGTATCACATCAGCAGCGTCTACCGTGCATGCAACCGCTGCGTTTGCGTCATTCCTCGTGTTTCTTCTGCATGGGAGGTATAGGACTCTTCTTGACAGGATATTACGCATGAGACTAGCACCACCAACAAGCCAGGTGAGCCGGGAGGTATCTTTCGAATATCTCAATCGACAGCTTGTATGGCATGCATTCACCGAGTTCCTCCTATTTGTCTTGCCTCTGGTGGGCATTAATAGATGGAGGAGGTGGATCACGCGAACTTGGAGGAAGACCAAAGGATTCATTCAGGGCACCTCCGACGCGGACAGCGAGGAGAAGAAGGGTGAATACGCTTTCTTGCCGGAGCGAACATGTGCCATATGCTACCAGGATCAGAATACGGCGTCCACCGAGCAGGAAATCATGGCGGCGGCTGCAGCGTCCGGCGGTGTTATTGGCTCTGCGCAGACCGACATCACCAATCCCTACGAAACAATCCCGTGTGGCTGTGTGTATTGCTTCGTTTGTCTTACTACGCGCATAGAAAGGGTAGAAGGGGAAGGTTGGACGTGTTTGAGATGCGGAGAGGTCGTCAAGGAGTGCAAGCCCTGGAGCGGAGATGTTCTCGAGCCGCCGAGCAAGTCTCCGTCTTCCAAAGCAGTGGCTTTTGCAGACGACGTCAAAGATGCACCCTCGGAAAGAGGCTCGGAGCCAGAGGTCATCGCACCTATTCCGATCGGTGAAACAGCGGATGCAAACAATTCTTCGTCATCTGACAGCGATAGATCTGACACAGATTCGGAGATATACGAGGAAGAAGAGGATGAGATCGGCGAAGACTTAGATCAATGACCTGATCATGTTTAGATTTGGCACTTGTCACGCATTATGAATATACGCTCAATAGCTGCGTTTCTGTACTGTATTAAATACAAGCCGTTTCTGCATGCATGCGTGCGCAGCTGCAGTCAGGCAGGACGAAGATGTTGTCCTACACAAGATCTGAGAGCATACTTCAAAACATTGATGCCTAACCCGTCAATTTCGTCTGCAACGCCCAAAATGGCTTTCTTGACGATAAAACGTATTCGACATTCGTTACACAACAGCCGTGTCAATTCCACCTTTTGGCACGGAGGGCGAAGCTATCGTGAGCGCTTGTGTCACATGTCAACTCGGATTTACCATTCTAGTGACGTAGGCCTACCTAGAGACCTACCTATCCTGGAACGTTGAGACAGGGCGTGGCCCCCCCCCAACTTCAGCCAGTTTCAGGCTTTCAGCATTCCAGGCAAGGCGGATTAGCGGACCTGTCAGCGCTGCACGGCCACCGCTAACCGCGCTCCAACTTACCTAAGGTAGGGGCCGTCCCACGGCACGAGCCACTCGTTTGGCGCAATGTTGCATTTTCGGCTGGTCCGAGCCCTCCCCCGGCCCGTTCGACTCCAAACAATGGGTTGCGGCGTCTGACCCAAGAAAGCCCTCTCCAACGTCATCACAACTTGCCATCCCACCGCGATAAGCGGTAGCTGTAGTAGTGCCGCCAGCAGCAGCATCGCCATCAGGCTGCCAGATTAACAGCTGTACGATTCGAAGGATGCCGAGCGAAACAAACGCACCGAGACCGAGCGCTAGTAGGACATCCTCAGCTACGAGATAGCTGGAACGCGCGGAAGCCCGCTAAGCTTAGTCCGCGGCGCCCAACGACGGCGCGGGTGCGCGATGCCGCCCTTCTTCTCCTTCGACCAGGGCAATGAGTCTGCTCCGCGTCACAGCTACGCCAACGATGCGTCACCGCTCCTGGGACGCTTCCGTGCCGTCCCGCGGACAGACCAGAACAGCAACTATGCTCGTCGCATTGGCGGCGGCGGAGGCGGCGTCGGGGGACAGCTCGCCGGCTTGATTCCCTGGCGAGGCAGCGTGCATATCGGTTACGGTGCGCTTCTTGCGCAGCAACTTGAGGATGCGGATGACGAAGACGACTCAGACGGCGAAGAGCTTGACGGAGATGAGAGCTGGCTAGTGCGATGGACGCACCGAATATGGCGTAGGATGGAGGATCTGTGGGTGACGCCAAAGCAGGCTGCTGTGAGAAAGGTTGCAGACGTTTGGTGGAGTCGTTGGTTTGTGTTGGTGGTGCTACCGGCCGCGCTGGTGAGGCTCTCCTTTGAATACTCGTGTTCCGATTTACTGGGAGCGGGCTATTAGACTAACATGACATCGTTCAGGCCGTTGGCTGGTGTGCTCTACCATTCCCGCAATATCCGCTACCGGAGGATAACCAAGATCATGCATTCAGTGAGTCCGGGTCGAGGCGTAAGGCGCCTGGTCACGGTGAGGCTCGAGTGCAGGTGAACTTCTGGTTCTTCCTTTTCGTCTATTATGGCTTCTATAATATGACTGCCCTGATTTGGATCACCAAGGTCTTCAACCTGTACAGCCTGAACTGGTGGCCATCATCACTTGGCTTTCCTGTGACAGTTACCGCCATTGCCATAATGTCCATAGCGATTCCTGTGCCGATCTATTTCATCCCGGAAACTCGCTTCTTGACCGTTCATAACACGGCCTGGATCAGCTGGACGTTTATTATCATGGCTATGCCCGTCGCTATTGCCTTTTGTATTCTCATGAATAATGAACGGCACCTGAGCCTACGGCACTCACTTTCCGAGACCCAGCGCATCTTTACCTCGTCATGGTGGACAGGCGAGCCTGACACGTTGACACGAAGAGATGCTCGCCGGTCACGACCCGCTGTGAACTGGGACGACATGGATGCCGCCCTACATGTCACAGAACAGTCAGCTCCATCTCTGCCTGTTCGCATGCGCCGGCGGTGGCTACCAGCTAGCTTCGTGCGCTTCATCTGGTTTTGTCTCGCCCTTTTCATAGGACTCATGGCGTACGTGATAGGAGAGGCGTACGCTGAGATTTATTTGCGCACATTGCCGCATAAGAATTTTGACACCGTCGTATACGTCTACGGATGGATTCTAACCGTGCATCTCTTGGATGGCCTCACAGGCTGGATCTTGGGAGGCAACGAAGGAGAGCGGGTGGGAAGCTATCCTCTGAGTTGGATATTCAAACTGTGCGTGCTCCTAAAAAGTTGACATCAAGATTGTTTTGCTCCGAAGCATCAATACTGACCAATTGGCACAGATATTTCATGCTGACATATCAAACCTACGTCCGCGCTCTGTACGCCCGCCTGCGGTCGCCCTCCCAGTTCGTGTTGCTGCAAGTCCTCTCCTCCACCAGCCTCATCGTCATCACGCCCATCCTCATGTCCGCGCCTTTCCACTGGCTCCTCACCGTGCTCAAGTTCAACGGCCAGTCCTACGGCGCCTACCAGAAGCTCGCGATCCGCAACGTCTTCATACGCTTCCTCGCGGAGAACGCCAGCATGCTCACCTTCCTCGGCTCCGTCGTGGTGCTACACTTTGGCGCCAACCGGGACGTCTACCCGTACTTTTCCTTCGACGACGCCGCCGAGGACCAGCCCGCCAGCAACCCGGACGAGTACACGTTCCAGCTGACCTTCTACGCCTCCAGCATCACGTGGGCGTGCGAGCTCGTCGCGAGCTTCGTCGTCGCCGGCCTGATCCGCTGGATCTTCGGCGTCAACGTCGTCACCGAGGGCAAGCTCGACCTCGCCGTGTGGCCGGAGCTGCTGCCCACCAGCGTGGCGGTCATGTTGCATGTGCTGCAGAACATGCTGTTCTCAATCATCCGGTTACAGTTCCGCTAGGCAGAGCTGCTTCACGTTTCGTGTTAAAACAGTTGCACATGGGTCTGTGTTGACCGTATAAAACTCTATCCCCCCGAGGCCTTCATTATAGCATATAGGAGCTCGCTTGTTCAACAAGTGGGGATGTGTTCATTAATTGTTTGTTACTTGCATTTAGTTTCGTCTCCTCTAGGAGAGAGTCATGGATGGTTCGAATACTGGCATAGCTCAGAGTTTCACTTTACGTTTCATGCATTAGATGGCGGGCAAGATGATAATGATACCCTTCTAGATCGTTTTCGAGTCATCAGAGTAGTAGAGATATCCCCTGTAATTGATCAAGTTTCTTCATTGTGGGCCGGAGCACTGCCGGATCGTGTTCTCTAGTACTAAATCTATCAAAATCAAACATCAAGTTTGTACGGGTAATTGTCAGACATCGGGCTCTTGCTGTCGGGATTGCGAGAAAAGGCAGCTTGCCGCGATATGGGGAAGGAAAAGCGCGCCGATGCTGGCGGGTAGGTGCTTTTGACAGGTCCGGAAGACACACAGGCGGCCTGGTATTCTTATCCGTGGACGTACCGCAGATCCCCTTGCCGCATCCATCCCCGTAAACGCGGGAAGGCTGCCGATATCAAATTCCATCAGATTGCCTCCATTGCAGATCCGGCCAGGTGCAGCTGCTGTCCCACCCTCCAACCTCCGAACACGACCCCGGAACCCGTCATTGACAGGTTTGTATCAGGGCAAAGGGGGTGGTGTATACTCATCCATCACCGAGCCTTACCTAGACACACTCCCGGCAGGCGTCGTTGGGCTCCAACAGCAGCGACAACAGCGATAATGACTAAGTATCGGGAGATTGAACCACACATATATCGGGCGATTTGTGGATGCGCGCTGAATCCTAAGTGTTCCACTTCCGTTCCAATCAACGGGACGATCTCGGCGTGTAAGACGATAACTTCTGGGTTGGCGTTGATAAGGCTCCGTAATCCGCACTCCGGATCGGGTTCCACCAAGACACTCGCTGTAAAGCCCACAGCCGGGTTTTTCTCATCTCGATGGTTTGGCCGAGCCTTTCCCGCCCCCTACCGCGTTCAATTTGAGCCATTTAAGCATATATCTGGGCTTTTAACTTCGATCGGGCCAATCGCTTGAATGGCTCGAATTGGCGGTGAAGAGCGTTCTGAGAACCAGGTTGTGATTCACTGACACACACCTGATTAGGAGATGACCGGCGCGATATTGAATTGCATCGCGGTTTCATTGTCCTGCTCTAAAAAGAGTGCAGTATTGGTGCTGAGCGGCAGCTAACTAGAGCTGTAATCGGCGCACAGGTAGTCCTCGGAGAATGAATCAAGCGCTAATGCAGAGAATCGACGACTGATGTTGATGCAACAATGGAGGTCAGATCTAGCCCAAAAACCATATTGTCGCTGCGAGTTTGTAAAATGCCAGGGTATCCAAGCCGCCACAACGCATGCGCTCGCTTGAATCCTCGGCTTACACCCGTAAAGAAAGATACTAGGTCTTGAAAGGCAGCCAGAAAGAGAAGGTTGCACAGATGATGAGAGAACCTGGTTCGCCAGGTCCGCTCTGCCCGACGATAAATGAAACGGCAAATCAAATGGATATGACCAGACACGGTTTGACAAACTCAACGGCTGGATGAATCAAAACACATGTGACGATATCTGAGGGTATCGCCTTTGCGACAATTATCGACTTAGCGGCGTAAGCAACAATAGTAGGTGTTCAATCACAGCGATCTTTATTATCGTTAGGAGAGCAACGATATGCTTTAATCGAAGCCACGCCTTTTCACTTGATCGTAATTGTAGTAACCTTGCCGCCGCTTTGTGCCGCCTGAAGTTACTTGCTGCGGGCCAGTGGAGGAGCTTTGGCCAATGTGAATGAAATGGACACTGTAGAGGGATAAGAGTGGATTTATATGAATCATGAAGTCGCAGATGAGCAGGTATGAGGTGTCACACGTAACATCTTCTGCATAAGAATAGACTTCAGTCAATGCCCCGGCACTGGCCAACGGCGAGAGCAATCGAGATAGAACTTAGAAGAGATTTCTCAAAATCTAGTACACATGATGCAGCCTAGCTGGCGGCGGTGGCATGTTTCTAAGCGAAGAGCGTCATAAGACAGATAGCCCGTAGAGATATAAACTCGTCCTTGTGTCGTCGTTGTTGTTGCCAGGGAGGTGTGCTATGGATGGATGTCATTCTCAGAAGCGGGAAGCTGTTTTCGGTATTCAAATCGGTTCTGTCAACGGTCACGGTCCGTCAGGGGGGTGCCCTAGAACTGACAGAAGAGTCATGATGGAGGGCAGCGACAAGGGAGAACCCCGGTGACGGGAATATGACAAGTGAGCGCGCTATCGGGTTGGGCGCTGCTGTGCAGTCGGGTTGGACGGGAGGAGGCCGTGATGGAGGGTGACCAGAGCAGGACTGCTTGCAATACATAGATGGTACATTCCGTCATCCCATCGCGGTGCTTGCGAATCGCAGGCTGCTATTGCACAATGACAGTGGTGAGCTTGTATCGGCAAAAATGCTCAGAGTGTGGGGGCCATCTGGCCGCGAGAGCCTTGATTCGATGCGAGGAGATGCTGGTTAGAGGTGGTAGTTGGCGATGAGACCGTCTGATGAGATGATGAGACGATGCTGTCCGTTGAGCCCCACACTGCGAGTTTCGTCTGTTAGAGATTGATTCGGATGCCGTGATGCTGTCATCAGGAACTGCTGGCATCTGGACAAGGCCAGTGTTAGAGCATGAATGGGGGATCCATCAAGGTGGGTTATTGGCGTAGCATCGTGCACTCTGGCTCGAGTGGGCACTGCTGTAAATAGTCATGAAATGGAGACATGAGAATGTTGCAGCAATGCAAGAATAAGGTGTAGTTAGCAGATTAGGTACTTCGAGAAGACCCCGGATGTTTAAGATGTGTCTTCCGGGTTCTACAGAGGAGAGCACCACCTTGATTAGAAAGAGATAGTACAGGAAAGTGGCAGTTTGGGGGTTTCCCTATCAGGATGGGACTTGGTGGCTACTGGGTCGTACCTACCCCTCCATGGTGGCACATCCTGTTCACGGACGCTCCTACCAAGGCAAGTACTTCACTGTATCATGCTGTACCTTCCATGGATGGTGGACAAAATGGCAAGAGCAACCCCTTGTATAGTGTCATTCCCGGCCATTCGCGGAAGCGAAGAGACGTCTCAACCTCGAATGCAGTGCTGGAATTATACGGAAAGAGCAAGCTTGTTTTGCTGAGCGGCTGGCCATTTGTTGGGGGAATAAGAAGCTGGCCCAAATCCACGTGTAGGAAGGAGCACCCCTCGAGGCCATACTACTTGAGCATTACGGATTAGAAGGCAGCCATTCTCCTGACGTTTAGGTAAAACAAAAACAACAACGTGCAGACAGATAAGCTACCATTTGCCCTAAGGTAGATGTCTACCTGGGTAAAGGTTTGCTAGCATCTCATCAACACATCCACCCCGGTCCTGAAGCCGGCCGGCCGACATGGCATTCATGGAGGTTGCTATGCAGCACGTTGCTGATCTTAGCCCGTCTGCATCTGCAATAAGATACGCAGAGACGTCTACGGCCCTGGGGCGTGGAACTTGCTTCAGCCGCTCTATGTGCTTGTCTTCAAGACCTCACGAGGTGCCTCTCTCTATCTGTCAAGGCGAGAACAACCGGCGCCCATACCACCGCCGCTGCATTTGCGATTGACACTTCTAGGAGGCACAAAAGGACTTGCATTTGCCTTACAGGATGCATGCAGCAGAGACCCCAGTCAACGCCGCCGCCTGCTGCTGGTGCTGCTACTGGTGCTGCTGGAGGACCAGTCAGGCATAGATCTGGTGTATTTTCATGGGGTGCAGGTGTGCATTGGCTTCTCTGCGTCGAACGGCGTAGAACCAAAGCAAGCTCGAAGTCGTCATTTGCAGACAGGTGGCAGCAGAAGGCTGGCTGTGCTGTGTTTCTTGCCTACTCATACTTGGACTTACTGACTCACAGATTGACTTGCATGCTTCACCTTGTCTGACCTCTAATTATCTGATGGCAAGGCAGCTATCAAGGGGTACATATCTATCTCCTTCCTATCAGCTGGGGACAAGGCTTGCCTGAGATAAGGCAAGTTGACTATCTACCGACCTAGGTACCTTGGGCGAAATTCTAACTTTACCTCTACTAGTTCAAGCCCGCTCACTGATGGTGAAGTGTCGCGCGCCGGCTGGAACCTAACACATTACTGTCTGCTAATCCTGAGTCTATCGTCAAGCCTCCGGTCGAGACTAACTCGAGTAAGGTACTTACAGCACCGAACCGTACAGCATAGACAGGGAGCGATATGGAAGGATGCCGTGCCCTGCCCTGGCCTGAGCGTCGGGAGAAAATGGCTGATCTTAGCGCTAATGTCGGGATGGTCGTATGGTGGGGTTTGGCGGGGGTTGTCTTTTTTTTCTGTGCCTCTGCGACTTACATCCCACCTCCGACAGCCCAAGCTTACTCTTTGCTATTACGCTTCTGCTATTCTTGCTGACCGACTTCTTGTTAGTCAGTGTATATGTGCTGGGCCGGACGGATAGCGAAGCCGACAGACAGTGGTACAACCCGCGAGCTGTGCGCTCAAGCACGGAGGCCGCAGTGTCCCTCGTCTCGCAGCAGAAGCAAAGGCAACGGAGGGCAGACAGCCAGCCAGCATCGCACCGCAGCCAAGGTGGGGAGCCGTGAGAGCAGGAATCTCCGAATACCTGCACTACGGCACTGCTCAAGCACGACAGACGTCTCTGCGAGTCTCTAGCAGGTCTCCTGTTCTCCATCTTTATCATCCACCACCACCACTACGGGCCAGAGACCACCAACCAGCTGGCCTAATCGGGCCCTCGTTTGCCTGTGGACCTGCTCTACTCGGGCCACACCGACCGGCCTCCCTGCTCGTTACACTCCACTCCCGCCTCTGCTAGCTTCGTTTTCCTTCTTATCCTGGACAAGGGCCGTTGGGTTTTTTTCTCTGCGCGCGCGCACGCTCTCTCATGCTGTCTCTCCGTCCGCCGTCCGTCTCCAGTGCTTGCTCGCTCCTGCGGTTGTTACGGTTTATTGCGTCCGTCCGTCTCCTGAGGCTGCCTGGTCCTGTTCATTGCTCTGCAGCAGATACTCCAAGTCTACCTGGCTGCTACAGTACCCTCCCTGTCTCTCTACACCACGGATGTTCCTCCTGTCTTACCTACCACCTCGATAATCTCTTACCCACTTACACCCAAGCCTTTCGTGACTACACCCCCTCCAACCTGGGGCCGCCAACAAATTTCTCTTAGATACGATTCCTCTCTACCGCTTCTTCCTGCCTCTCCTTCCTCTTCCTCTTCTCTCTTCTCTCTCCCCAACATGACCTCGCCGGCTGAAGCCCAAAGCAAGCTGGCCACCAGTTCAGATCCTGCCATCGCAAATCCCGCCGAAGATGCCTCGGGACGACAGCCCACCGCCTCCTCCCCCGCCGCCGCCGAACTCGCCAGTACAAAGATAAGCCTACACAATGCGCTGCGTCGCTTCCCCGACTTCCCGATCCCGGGCATCAACTTCATTGATATCATGCCGTGGTTCTTGGACCCCTCCATCCATGCCACCCTCTTGCGCTCGCTGGAACTGCAGCTCCTGCACTTCGGCGAGTCCAACGCTGCTGTCAAGCCCGATGTTGTTGTTGGCCTAGATGCTCGAGGCTTCCTCTTTGGTCCGTCCCTGGCCCTCAAGCTTGATGCTAGCTTCGTTCCTGTCCGGAAGAAGGGCAAGCTGCCCGGTCCCTGTGTGACCGCGGCGTATGAGAAGGAATATGGCGCAGATTACTTCCAAATGCAGGAAGGTTCAATCAAGCCAGGCCAGAAGGTCCTGGTGGTTGATGATATCATTGCAACTGGTAAGTTTGAGGATCTCTCTTGCTGTTTAAAGTGTGCCATGATTCTGGGCGAGGTTCGAGCCCTCATCATCTTTTCTAAACTGTCTGGGACAAGAACACCCTATCTTGATTGGATTGCCCATCACCTTCTCTTCATCCAATGTGAACACGATGGCCCATACTAATATGACGATTAGGTGGATCTGCCGCTGCCGCTGGTGATCTCGTCAAGCAGCTTGGAGGTACCTTGGTAGGCTACCTATTCATTGTGGAAATTTCCTTCCTCAAGGGCCGAGAGAAGCTGGGCGATGTACCTATCGTCACACTTCTGGAGGAGGCGGATTGAAGCGGGAGAAGTCCTGACCAGGAGGCTTTTTCTTTCCAGTTCAAAGTGCCTCAGCATCGTACACTCTGTCCTAATACCCTGCATGAGCATGGGTGTGTTTTTGTTCCAAGGATGTAATACGGGAAGATTTGGGTAATGGGCGGCTTACATGGGAAGGATTTCCGTGGTCTTCGAGAACCCGTTTCATTTTGGCAGCGCACGGCACGAGGTGGTCTTTGCCACGAACACACAGATCTGGCGTTTTTGGTATCAAAAGTTGGCTGCTTGCTCTTTTTCTGGGACTGGGGAAGAACGGATGAGCATTATAGATTTTGGGGCGAGATTCTCATGTGTGGGCGATTGAGAGATTTGAGAAATCAGCCCCATTCTACAAGGTCACAATATACAACCAAGGGGGCCAATCAGCTCCTGACATGGCACTGAATGTCTTCACCTTTTGCACGATATTCCAAGGCACCAGGTATGCGGTATACAAAGAATTCTATTCATGTCTCATGACATCCTCAAGCGCGATTCGTTCTTTATCAATATGTACATTGTGTTGACGTGCTCGTCAACCGTATATTACTCATGCATCTCTACGGGCATTGCACCCCTTTACTTAGCCATATAAGTCATAATAAGTATGTTTGGTATCACCACCTCAACGCCTCATAGGCGATCATCGATACAACCCTGTTTACTTCGCATGGCATGAGCCCTCTTGATCTTCTAGATCCTCGGAAGCGACAGCGCGTCCCCGTCGTCCACTATGATGTTCTTCACGCGGACGCCCTGACTCTCAACGTAGTACCTCCTCGTGATGCCGATCTTGACCGCGTGCGACAGGTGCTGGTACGTGGCGTCGCCGCCGCCCACCATGAGCATGGCGATGGGGTTGCGCCGAGGGATCCCCGCGGGCGTTAGTTGCACTGTCTCTAGCAGCGGTCGGATATAGCTGCCGTCATCGCCGTGTATTGCACCCCCTTGGGGATCATCGTCATCTGAGACGACGATCACCAACTGCAGGCTGGACGAGGATGGTGTGTAGGCGGGAACATTGGCGAGCTTTTCGCTAAATGAGCACCCGCCCCGCCGGATCACGATGACCTGGTGCTCCCTGGGAGCTTCGTCCGGTAAGATGCCAGAGCAGGCCTCGCCGGCTGCGAAGACGCTTGACCAAGGCAAGAAGCTTTCGTAGACGGGGCCAAAGGATGGAATGTTCGTTCCGCTAGGTATGTCGACGGGAGGCAGGGGCGCTGCGCCGAGTCCCGTGGGAGTGATGCCAGTCGCGTTGAGAATGAGATTGAAAGGGCGACCGTTGGCAAGATCCACGCTTGCGTGGTGATTAGGGTCCTGGTCTGATGTGTCGAGCATCTGGAGAATCCAAGATTTGAAGAAGGAGCCAATCTCTGCTGCCATCGTCGTGGGATGGCGAGACTCAGGCAGGTCTTCAACAGCAATGTGAGTTTCTTCCGCATCGCGATGTTGTTCGGATGTTAGTTGAGCATCTCCTGTTGTAACGTTGTTCGGTGTTAGGTCGATATGATGCAAATGATGGACCTTGACTGCGACCTGATCCCGTGCAAGATTGAATCTCGGATCTGAGACCTCTTCAAGAATCGATCGGTCAAATACGATGTTCTCATCACGACCGAGATACATGCCATTCACCCGGGTTACCCGCCAACCCTGCTCCATGCCCTCCTCGAGCCGCATTGTCAGCTTCAGCCCCGATAGACTCAAGACCCTAGTCTTGTCGGCGGTAAGCCTCTCTAGATTTTGAGGTGCGACCATGAAGTTGAACGCACTACCAGCGACACCTTGCTGGGTATTTGAAGCAAACTCGAGCATGAGTTCAAGAGGCTGAGAAACTACCGAGCAAGTACCATTATCAGGGAGCATGACCGGTGGTAAAGTCCAGGGAAAGTAGGTATAATTGGTCTTGGCTTTGACGTCCCCTTCTTTCTCACTAGCTTCTATGCCAGCGTGATAATTAGGTATCAGGTGCAGATCGAGCATCTTAGCGGCGTGGTATATGTCTGGCCGTGCCGCGACATTCGACCCAGATAGCAGAGTTGGCTTCGGCGGCACCGGGCAGGCATCTTTGAAGCCTTGATCATGAAAGACGGCAACCTCCTTGGTACTCGCAGGCGCGGCAGGGCGCGTTCTTGGTCGCTTCCTCTGCCTCTTGGGAATGATGAGGGGATGCCCTTCTGTGGTGAAGACGTACGCAGCATCCAGTGAATTCAATGGATGTCGGTCGTCGTAGAGTAAGTACATGTACTTTGCAGTTTCTCCAAGGAAGAAGCTTTCCATGCGATCGCTCTTCTCACCACTAATGACATTTTGAAGACCGGCCCAGCCGCACTCAGTCCTGCAACGGCGCGTGATATCTCTCAGAACCATCTCCCCGACGTAGAGGTACCAAGGATCTTTAGTTGCACGGTAGAGATGATACGTAGACTCGATAAATTCGGGACGTCCAGGCCACCAGCCAAGACCCCCTTCGACTGTCTTCTCTCTAACGGACCATCGTTCTGGCAAGGCAGCGTATCTGGTCCATAAAGCGGCATAAAGCAAATTGGTCTCGATGGCCTCATCCACCTCCCCAGCCAGTGTGAGCAGACCAGAATAATACGCTCCAAGGCTATCGATCCAGTTAGAAGCGATAGATCCGGTCCATAGATTGACATTGACATAATGTGGGTGGTCCTTGTCGCTATAGAGATGCCTTTTGATCGCAGCGTGCGCATGATGCCATGCTTCCAGGAATGAATCGGGAGAGTTCTCCTCGTCACTCAATGGCTCATAGATGATATTTGGGTCCATCCAATAGTCATCGTCGCTTGGTCTTATCACAGTACGGTTCGGTAGCGCATGGCCAGATAGGAGAATGTGCGTTTTCAGAGCATATTCAAAGAAACTGTCGGCGCCTGCGCCAATGACGGCGTATGGACCTACCCACTTGCCATGCTCGGCATCGACGCCTGCCCCGATGAGCCCAATCTCGCTTCTCCTGTACCACACAGCCCAAAAAGCTCGTTTGGCCAGCTGCTCAAACCGCGGGTCGCCGGTTAGACGACTGAGCACGGTAAATTCGAGGACAAGGCTTCCAGCTCCTGCACTGCATGTCTCGGTGATCTCAGGAGGGCCACTCTCTCCCGTCGGAGCACCAGCCTGAGTAACGTCGTGCATAGGAGAGTTGACGTAGAAGGGGATGCCGTAGCGTAGATTGACTCTCGGATACGGCATGCCGGTCGTGGTATAGAAAGCAGGGAGAAGACGCTGTGCGAGATCCAATGCGAGACGGAGCAGTTGACCATTGTACGTAAACCCATTGGGCCATTTGATAGGCCGAACCTCCAGGTAGTCTTCGGCCTTGGGTGGATTGTAGCCGGTAATGGGAAGTTCTCCCATGGCAAAGAGATGTGCACTCAGTAGCCCGCCCACTCCACGGATTACGGTCTCGAAGACTTGCACCTTGCTATCGACATCGAACCCCCTGGCTCGTCGACCCTGGCCAGAAGGGCCTGATGTGCCATCTCCGTACTGCTCAACCAAGGCAGCCACGCCATCTTGAAAGTCGCGCAGCGCTTTTTTGCCTATATTGCCATCTTCTGGAGGGGCGGACGCAAGTATGGCTAGCGTGGAGAGACTGTCGATGAGGGTTAGGGAGTAATTCCCCAGAACATCGTTAAGTTCCACATTTCGAGGGTTTTTGGAATCTCGCGTCAAAGGAATACATGATACCGGTCGTAACTAAAGTCAAATATAATCAGTACGATTATGCATTACAAGAGCGCCACCGGAAGCTACCCACCTCATCCTCGGGGAAAGCAATGTTCATGTAGTTGTCATAACCATGATAAAACATTTCTACTGTCTCCTGGCGCAGACGAGCAATTTGATCTGCTGACATGGCATGGCTCTCGCCAGCCCACAGCAAAACCACAACGAGTATGACGACACATGATGTGGAGCGTAGAATACCAGAGCTTGCTCTCGACATGGAGCTGCCGCTTACCAATGCGCGGAACCACTCCATGCCTAGCAGAGGCTTCACCTGAAGCTAGAACTGGGAAGACTCATGTGGGAATTCGAGGCCGCAGGATCCAAAAAGAGAATATACAGTCACCTCAGAAGAAGGAAAAGAGTCGCATAGCGGCATCGAATGGCTCTGTTGCCGGAATTGTACGTGATTCCGTGATCAAGGGCAGCTCAATCAGGAAAGTCGCGATGCTGTCATCTTGCTTGATTGAGCTCTGTGAAACCTGGCCTATCGGAGCTGTGGCTTACCAACTGTGGCTCAGCATCGAACGATAACCTTGATGAGCCAAGCACGTGACTCGCTTTTGCTGAACTCGTTTGCCCCAATTATTTACATTTAGCCCTTTTAGCATGCCCTGTGCTCTTGAGTAACAATAAGGTCAGAATATGGCACAGCAGGTCAAAAGTCATCGGCTATTGCTGTGTCGTCCTCACTCGGGCCGCGAAGTTCTCGACGAGTCCACCAGCCGGCTAAACTACTCTCGCAAGCTTCGAGCCGAGCAGGTCATCCGCAGCGGCAGAGTCATTCTAGATCCGGAGTGTTGAGCCACAAGCGCCATGTCTACACACGACGCCCTTGTGGCATCGCAGATCCTTGGTCTCTCTTCAGATTTCAGTGGGAATTTGAGAAACAGTCCTTTCAAACGTACCGCTACATCGTCCGTCGATCGCCGCAAACGATGTGCTCCTCCAATGTAGAGATACACACTGTACGCCAAGTTTCGCCATTTGTCAAGAGGTCAAGCTTCCAGTCGAACACACGATCTGCTTGTCAAACAGGGCAATCCTTACAATCGTCCTAGCTCTGTATCCTGTGACAGTCGTCGATCATTACCAGTGATACCCCTGCCACACAGGGCCTGCCCAGCTACTGTATAAGCTAGTTGTCGCTGCTATCCAGAGCTCTTCACCGCGCTAAAGCAAGTGGCGTACTCACCTGCAATGTGACCTCGAGTTATGGCGCCAGATTCCACCGATTCAATACTCTTATCGAGAGTTTGAACGTTTGAAGGGAGTGCCCTAGTAGACGGTTCCCTGGTGATCCGTTCCTGAATGTTCTGAAGCGTCGCACGACAGGAGTCTTGGGGTCTGAACACGGACACTCTGTTCCACTACGCAATGGGGCGTATCACCGTAACACAGAGGGAGAGTTACACCTAGCTGAAACGGCTCTCGAATTCGGCCCCAGGGACCACATCGAACCTTTCATCCAGCCTCGTAGGGATGAAGGATCGCAGATGTTGTCATCCTGCCTCCTCCTCTATTGGGGGCGATCAGGTCTGCTGCCTTCACCATCATACATGCACACACCGTCTGCCTCCCACACACTCAATTACACATGCATGCCACATGCTTTGCGTGCGCCATGTTCGGCAGCTGAACTAGCCGTCCTATCATTGTTGATTGACGTCTTCATTCGCCTGTCTGGCCTCTGGGCACTGCACTAATTTAGGCCACGATAGTGGATTACGGGGAAAGATAGCGCGAAAGAGAGCCTCTTGCGGCCGTTACCACTTGCTAGAGTCATCTAGTGAGGTTAATGATCCGTCTAAAACTTGAGTTAACGCCCGGCCGGCCAGTCCGACCAAAAGTCTTAGCGGTGAACTCTAACCACTTCGATCGTAGGACCGCCGACCGCACTGTCCTCTGATGTACGACATAGCAAGCATCATCTAGCAGGCCAGGGACGTGGCCGCATCCAGGCATCCCTGGTAGCTGTCGCCATACTGGAGTGTATTGGCAGAAGAGCGCAGGCGACCATTGTCCACGGTAGTTTTGAACAAGGGCTGAACACACAAGTGCAGCAGAAGTGGGTTCAGTATAGGCCTGATACGAGTGGGCAACAGCGCTAGCAAGTGGCGACTTGGCTTAGAGACAAGATGGCTACAGAGCGGAATTCAAGCAAGCGACAAGCACCGAGGCCATACCTGCCTACTGCCAATGCAAGAGAAGCTGTTCGAAGACGGACGTCTTTCGTTCGGCCCTTTTGCCGGTGCTCAACACCCAAAACCTCAACGGTCTTTAACCTATGCAGTAGCCGCAGCGCGAAGGAAGAGAACCCGCCGCTGGCATGTATGCAGATGCCTTAACTTGGTCAAAGACAATCAACGCCCAATAAACCTGCCAATTCTCTACCAGACTGCCGGACCCCGGTGTAGATATTAAAGGCGGCTGGGCAGGGCACATCCTCTTCAGCAAGGCGAGAAGCGGCTTGTCGCAGAGCTGGAGCCGGGAGGATGTGATGGGTGTATCTTTGTGTCAACCACGGTCTGTCGGATCTACGGTTGAATTCACCTCAAGCATGGCATGGCATGGTCACCGGAACTAAAGAATCAATCCCCCCTGCAAGTCCCGCTCGCCGTCTCCCCCGCCGCATGTCGTTTGCAAATAATGCCTATTTGTCATTTTCACGTCCGTCGGTCACGCATTTCCCGCGACCGAGAACATAGTGATTCCCATGAGCCATGGGAAGGGTAAGGATAGGAGATCGCTAGCAGAGACAATAGAGTCTGTCCTTGCCCTGTCTAGCCAGGCAGGGCCAGGCAGGCGATCTTATGGTTCGATACATGTGTCAGAGACGAAGCCGACCTCGATTGCGTGTTTAAAGAACTGGACCCAATTCAAGGTGCTGACCGTGCCCTGCCTCGTGTGTGCCCTGCAAACCCAGCGCGCGCCAATTTGCGCCGGAAACATTCTCCAGCTGCGTGCAGAAATGGTGCGGGCATAGCACTGCAAGTCTTCCATTTGTGGCAGGTATTGTCAACTGGCTGCCCCCTTACAATGAAAGCATCCCCTGTTGTTCCCCATCCGCTGGGGCTTTCCAGCAGGAGACTCCAGCCATGTGAAGCGCTAGGTAGAGTAGCATTGCGACGTGGACCCGGCTGTTCCCAAGCAACAGCAGAAGGAGCAAGAAGCAGCAGCAGCAGCAGGAGAGAGGGTACTTTTACGAACCAGAAGGATTGCAAATCTTGTTCCCACAAAGCCGGTAGCGATGCAGTATCTGCCCCCGTCTGTAAATGCGGTGATCCTGCGCCACGTCCCAGCAAGGCTGGATGGATGGCATGTCTTAAGCAAGGGCAACAAAAGAAAATAGATACTGATACTATGGGGCGCTCGTACAGCAACTGCACCCTGCGCACAATCGTCCTGCCACGTGCGGACGTGGCCGCAAGCGGTGGCATTTTCCGTCTTGGATGGTGATCAAAGGCAATCCTTCTGTCCGGGGCACGCTGTGCCGCCTTCCGGGGACCTGCGCGGTGCTGGGAGTCCCTGTCTTTGCCTAGGGGGCAGGATCCAGAATACCCCAGTGGCAGTGCAAGGGTGCCTAGGCGCAAAGGTTGCATTGCGAGAAATTTCGGGGCCGTGTCCGATGACGATGATGTTCAAGCTGGATAATTCAGATCCGGGCAGCGCCGCAGAGACTACAAGGCAGCAATCGGCGACTGACGACTTGACAATCGACAATCCCCTTTCCTGTGTGGTGACGATAACGAGATGCCATGCACTGGTGATTGTCTAAGCTATCTGCCTGGACCTGAAGATGTCAGGCCCAAATCGCGACCCAGGCTACCTCCCTATGTCCCTATGTAGAGAAAGGGGTAGATGGCACGAAATGTGAGGGAAAACGAGAGAAGTATCTTGCATGGTATCATAATGTATGTAAGGTAAATAGTAAAATGCAAAAAGCGCATTGGGGGAGAATCCCTGGTGTGAAGAAGCGAACTAAAGCGAATCAAGACAAATCCAAGTAGACACACTGTCATCCGTATGGTATGTAGTCATACCGTAAAGGAGAGGCTCTTTTGAAAGACACAACAATCTAACACCAAATTCGCAAAATTCCTCCTACAATGTACCATCAAAAAGCCTGTTGAAATCATGAGTGCAGATAAGTAGTTAGGTAATGACAGTGTTGTAAGCATGCGTGAGCATAAAGATCTCCTCTCGTCCTCATGTCCGATCTCGATGTTGAAATCGCCGGCTCGAGCCGCCAGGCAAGTTTAGCGTCCGTGAGGCAGTGATGCTGCTAATGATGGCGGTTTTGCTGCTGTAGCATACGATCACGAGCCTGGCGAGCTATCCTCTGGCTCCCCTGAGTATTGATATCCGAAATCTCGTCCATGTTGGACTCTAGTTTCATGTCTGCTTGAGTGTACTCGTGTTCCATGTTGGATCCTGGCTCAGGAGTTTCTTCTATCTCCAAGGGACGATCTTTGAAGATGCTTTCTATAATTTCGCTTTTTTGCTCATCCGTGAATTGTGGTGGCGGCTCCACGAAGTCTTCGAGTGGCATTTCGTAGGATGGCCGCCGAGTTCCCTGGAAAACAGGGTGTGCACCATATGAAGGAATTTGTGCTCCGAGCCCATTG